TACACATAGGGGCCATCAACCGGATCCCCAGTCATGAGGCTAAGCTTTGAATGAGTATCAACCGGAGTGGTAACTGGTTTTCACATGTCTAATTTAGCTCACATGATAATTTCTTATGTGTACTTGCGTTGGTAAAGGAATATGGGATTTTTAGTGCGAGTAACATGAATGCCAAGGAAGTATGTAAGTGGAACCAAGTCTGTCATTTCAAATTCCTAAGTAAGCTTCCAGATGAGTTCGTTCTTGAGGTGGGTGGAGGAAGCTGTGAAAACATTATCATCCACACAGAGTAACAAGTAGGCCTGACTAGAACCGTTGGTGTAAATGAATAATGACGAATCACATTTACTACACGTAAAACCAAGTTGCAAGAGATATGTAGCAAACCGTTGGTAACAGGCCTGAGGATCTTTCTTAAGTCTATATAAAGACTTTCGTAACTGGTACACATACCTAGGATAAGAAGGATAATGAACCGGGGGGTTGGTGCGTAAATATTGTTTCATTTAGAGAGTCATCTAAAAAAGCGTTTTTGACGTCCAGGTGATGTAACTCCGAATTACGAGTGAGTGCCAAGCTAAGTGTTGTGTGTATTGTTGCATGTTTAACCACTAGGCTAAAAGTTTCATGACAATCAACCCCGACTTCATAACATTTCCCTTTAACAATTAATCTCGCTTTGTATCATTCAAGAGACCCATTTGAATGAAATTTATGTCGAAACAACCAATGATATCGTATAATATTTGCATCCTGTGGTATAGGGACAAGTTCCCAAGTATTCTGTAAAGCATTATATTCGGTAAGCATGGAACCTTTCCAATTTTTGTTAAGTAGAGCAAAATTTGGGTTTTTAGGAATGGGAGAAATGTCATGAGTATGGAAGGAGTATTCGGGGTTGGGTTTAGAAATACCACTCTTGGCTCTTGTTTGCATAGGATGAGCTGTAGGAGGGGAAGAAGGGGTGTGAGAAAATTGGATGGAGGAGAAGCAACCTTTTATGGGCTTGTAGGAAGGTTAGAGACATCCAATGATTGGCTTTAAGTGGTAGGCTGGTAGTGTTTTGGAGTGGGTTGGTAGATTACTAACATCCGAGGAAGGGGTGGGAGGAGCACGGTTTGAGGTGGCATAAACGAGTGTGATAGTTGTGTTGGTGGGACTAGGATTTTGAAAGGATTGTTGGTAATGAGTGAGATAGGGGGAGGGTTCACTAGGTTCAAGAAACGTATATGAGTGATTGCGGTATGGAGATAAATTGGAATATGGAAAAATATCTTCTTTGAAGTTGACATGTCGACATATAATAGCTATCGTTAATAAAGGTAATTAGCTTCACTACCTTAAACATGGGCGGATTATGTATAGGGCCAGGAGGGGCTTTACCCCTACCCCCTTGATATTTGGGTTAGAAATAGCAGATATATCTTCAAAAAATTTAATTATAGGCCTGTTAATGTCAAAATTGGGTTGTGGCCCCTCCCGATTTCAATCCAATTTCTAAACCAAGCGACAATAAGTCAAAATCGATTCGTATCTTACCCAGTTCCTCCCCCATCGTATCTGTAACACCTAGGAATTTGGAGTATATTTATTTAACCCGTCTTCTTCTGCTAAATTGTCAAGTTTGACCCATAAATGAGAATTGTCACAGATGAGTACCCTGGGCGTACAAAGGAGAACGTTGCACGTACTCATGAGCTTAAGTTGGATCCGGAGTATACGAGATACGCTGGGCGTACCTTAAATTACGCTGGGCATAGTGATCCCAGACTCAAAACCCTAATTCTGGCTTGTGCACTATAAGAGGGATGTTAAGGCCTTTCCCCCAGCCACCATTATTCAGAAAGGGAACCCTAAGAGGGAAGAAAACCCATAGTAGGCTTGTGTGTGTTTTTAAGCTTGATGGTGCCATTTCAAGGTGAAGAAGGTGAAGAGGAGGCCATTGGAAGAGCTTGAAGATGGAGAGCAAGAGTAGATCCGATTTCTACATGGGTTAGAGCTTCTATCTGAGGTAAAAAGCTCCTAGCTTTCCTTGCCCTTCTTGTTTTATGCTTCATGGTCCATTTCTAGGTTTAAAGTCCCAAAGGTGGAGACTTTATGAGCAAAAGGGACTCCATGGACCTAGATTTGTCCCATTTCAGAGATATGTGTGTTGTAGAGCCATAAAAATCCAATCTTGGTCATGGTTATGGAGTCATTCATGAGTTTGGTCTTAAAGAGGAAAGGGGATAAAAAGTTGAAGTGAGTTATAACCTTTTCAGCCATGCAAAGGCCTAAAGGTCTCGACTTTATGGTTTGGGAGACTGAGGAATGTCCAGATCTGAGTTTTGAGCTTTTGTCTTAACCCATTCAGACCGAAATCAGAGGAGTTGTAAGTCTGGGACTTACGTTGGGCGTAAGTCTAGGAACGTGCAGCGTAGTCGTTTGAGGCCTCGATCAGATCCATGCGTGTCTGGGTACGTTGAGCATACTAAAGGTGGTACGCCCCGCGTAACTCCTTCTGGGGGTTTTTGGGCTAATCTTTGTGTTGGGCTTTAGGAGTTGGGCTTGGAGTTTGGACGTCACGTAATAGAGTTTTGGACCAGGGGAGGGTATAATTGTGCTTGGGGCCCTTAGGGTGGGCTTGCCTTTCTATTTAGAAAATTGGGCCATGTGTGGGCCCATTTATTATTGGGCCTTGGTGGGCCCAATGGGCTTAGGGCATTGGTGGGTTGGTCGGTGGTCTATCCTTTGACCTGATAAGTGAGAAGTTAGACTTAGCTCCTAATTGAGATAATTGTGGGTTTGGTATAGAGTTACAGGTCGGTGCATGGCAGCAACGTTTATTGGAGCTGTTCTTCACCCGAGGTGAGTCTTCTCACTATACATTACCTAGAGTGGTAGTTATGTGTAGACCGGAGGGTCATATATGCTATGAGTATGTATGTGTTTATGTGATATGTGTTATGATTACGTTATGTGTTGTATAGACTGGACCAGAGGGTCCAACGATATAGACCGGACCGATGGTCCAACGATACAGATCGGGCCAGAGGGTCCAACGAGCTATGACCGGACCAGAGGGTCCAACGAGCTACGGGACTGGAGGGTCCCGTTGAGACACATCGACCGGAGGGTCGTACTGTAGCCTCGAGTGGCGTATGTGTTGTATGCGGTATTTTGGAGAACAACTAAGCCTTGTGCTTACTGTGTTTGTGTGATGTGTTTCAGGTACCAGTAAGGATCGCGAGAAAGCGCCGACATGATTAGTACACACACGTGCGGATTTTTACATATGTTATGATCTTGGGCTTTTGACTTTTTTTTTGTTATGAGAAAAAATGAGGTTTATTAATATTGTGAATAAAAGTATGCTTTAAACTATGAAAAAATTGTATTAAATTTCTACCGTGTTACAGTATCCTCCCCCATCGTCGCTAGTCGCTGCCTTCGTACCTCGCTCAATCGTTGTTGTCGGTCTCTGTATTCACCATGCAACATCTATCACTGGTCACCGGAAATCAGGTATGTAATTCTCCTGCTCTTTCTTCTCCCGTTCTCCCGTTCTCTCAATCTCTCGGATTCATCTATTCTTGAAATTAGAATAGTAGAATTTGGAAATAGAATTTATAAATCTGAAACCTCAATTCTCATATCCAGAGTTAGTTTATGTTTTTGACTTAGCTGTTTGGTACTCTAGTTGATGACTTGTTTAGCTCTTCAAGCAATCAAGCTATCGATTAATGACACCACAGTAACAGTAAAAAAAGATTGATTTAGTTTTGCTTCAGAGAAAATCAAAGTGAACGGGGGGCCCACGATGGGTTGGATTGTTAAAAAAATTCATACAAAATTAGAGTGTGGGACGCCTGCCAGTCACCACTGTCTATCGCAACTACATCGGTCACTACCATCTACCTGTTGTTGAGCTGTTCTGCACTTCTACTGTTCTTTCTTGTTCATAGAACTGAAGAAAATCAGGTATGCTCTTGAGTTATCTCTTGTTCGGCTGTTATGTCTTCTCTCTTTTCCAATTCTACTGGAAATTAGCAGTCTATCTCTTTAGTCTTGAAACTTGAGTATTGATTATTTTTTTCCTCCGCTTTGCCATTTTGCTTGTTGTTGGTATGTGGTATACAACTAATTATGATTTTCACACACATTTAAATGGATTTTGGCAAAAAATTGTTAATGTTTGTCTAGAATGAATTGATTGATGAGTAATATGAATTGTTCCTCTATTTGCTTGTTATTGGAATTTGGGAATCAACTAATTGGGATTTCACACACTGTTAAATGTTCTATTTTGCAGAAATTTGCTAATGTTTTGTCTGAATTTAGCTGACGAATCATGAGTGATGAGCATTGCTTTTGTTTATCTAATATTTGATTTTTATTGTCCTAAATTAGATTTGAGTTAGAGGGCTGATTCTGAATGAATTTTTCCTTCATTTTGATTTTTATAGATACAACCACGGTAATTTAGATATTTTGGTGTTTAACTGTTGAAATTATGTAACTTTAATTTTAAGTTCTAATACTTTCGGCCCCCCAAACTATACGTTCAAGCTCCGCCCCTAGCCTTAAAGGTAATTGGCTTCACTGCCTTCCTCATTAATCATCAACGAGTATATATACAATAATCACCTACCACTAGATAAGGATAAAATAATTCGAAATACATTCAAATACAACTGTAATCCTAATCTTATATATAGCTATCCGTAATAAATTGGCTTACTATGCTGCTAATAATTTCTTAAAGTACCCAACGACGGTGTTCATATCTGGCCGATCACTCGGTTGATCCATTGTAGTCAATAAAATTGTGAATGCCAACTACACCATAAGTAGAAGAAGTAAGTAAATGATTGAATCTAATATTGAGAAATGAAGAGAAAAAAAAAGGGTTCATGTCTTGCGATATGTCATTCAAAAATGAGCCACATTCGCTTCTACAAAAGGATGTTAACGCGAAAAGCATGTTGCAAAAGTGATTCCATTTCAAAAGACAATAGCGAACACCTTAGGGAGGCTTAGCTATTCACTTTCAAAAATAGGAAAAGAAAGAACCTTTTCAGCTTCACGTGACGTAAATTCTCCATTAAGCTTTGGGTCCACTAATGATCCAACGTTGTCTACTGTTCCAGCTGACAGGACCTGTTTGACAGAACCCATAAGATACATATAATTAGTTTAGCACAAACGACAATAACGTCAACAAAAACCAACCAGACTCTTAATCGCTTACTGAGTTGACGATTCCTTTCGATGGCTTGTTTCCAGTAAAAAGCTCAAATAGAAGAACCCCGAAGCTATACACGTTGCCTTTCATTGTGACCTCTCTTCCATTATATCTACCACATAAGCACACGTTAGCTAGTAGTATTAGTATTTCAACCAAGAAATAGATAGAACAAGAAGCCTCAAAGAAACCATGCACCATTCAAACGCAAGTAAAACTCAGGCAAAAATATGTGTAGTAACGCGTAATACGTCATGGCAGCTTATCGTTAATTAACAACAGATTTAGTGATGGGTTCTAGGACATTACTCTGGAGCCCAATAACTTTCACTTGCTGATGATCCAGTTGAAATCTTTGCTTTGAAGTTACTGAACAAAAGCACGTTGCTGGAATCAATGTGCGCAAGTCGGTTTTGATAATGCAAATACTCTAATCCCTTTGCCACGTCATATGCAATTGTTACCCTTTGCATCCACCTAATCACAGAACTTCCTGCACCATGCAAAATTTGGTGTAGCGTTCCCTGCGTCCAATGTTCTTCAACCAAGAAACGACGATTGTCTTTAATACAATAACCAAAGAGCTTAGCCACATTTGCATGGTTCATTCTTGAACGTACTAAGAGCTTGATAAAAGATGGAACATATGATCATACATATGTATACACAATTTAGTTAATTCCTGAAAACAAATATAGATTAGTTTTTAATTTAACTTACTTCTTCCAAAAAACTTGAATCAGATTCCCTCATGGTTGACGCATTAATTTCTGCTATGGCAACAACTTCTTTATTCAAGCTTCCGATATGAACATTTTTGTATAATGGATCATAAACTTCGGTAGTTTCTTTATTAGGTTTCTTTCTATGACTAGTAGATAAGGTTCCTTCACTACCAAGTTTTCGAGCCCCAGTGTTGCGCTTGAACGTAAGAAAGTTTAATGCACACCAATACACTGGCAACAAAAGTATAAATCGTCAATAATTTTATACAAAGGGATTCAATAGCCCCATGATCAAAGGACATATGTTTTATTTTTTCCTTGTTTTACCAATTTTGTACCTAATAATACAACTTAATCAAATGATAAGTTTGATGGTTATTCGTCTATGTGTTATATATTAATTTATTCGTAGCTACACATTTTGGCTTCCTAGCTAAATTAAAAACATGGTTATATTAGTGTAGTATTTGGCGAATGGATTTTGAAAGAGGGATGTTTACGATTTACCTGGTGCTTTTGCTAACAATGAGCCGAGAGGGAACCTTCTTGGACCCAATTCTCTCATAACAGTTTCAACAATTTTCGTTATGCAATCTGATTCATTCCTGTGCATTTTGTGCCAACATCAAAATAATACTATGTTATATTCGATTTACAATGTAACAACAAGACTTTATATGTATAACTTGATTCAAAAGTTTCAAATACAGTGTATGGATGTGGTGGTGTTAACAACTTTGTGGGTTCTATAGAAATTTCGGAACAACATTTTTTTTCAAGCATATTAAGTCGAGGAGATTCAGTTCTTCCCCCAAAATGCTTCTCAAACTCATAATTCTTGACGAATCAATGATTGTCTTGGAAGAAATTACAAATCCACCAATTCAGTTATTTTATCTTGACATAAAAAAAACATACCAAGCAATAGAAATCTCAAATATAAATAAAGTTTCAACAATTTACGTGTTTCATAAGAAATAAAAGAAGTTTTAATTAGTATATATTACCCTTGTACTTCGATTCCGGCAATATTTGTAGCCTCTATGAGGGCATATCTCCAGACCGATAACTTCATATGATTTCCATGAACTGCAAAGCCTTCCCGGAAACAACCACTTTGGTGCTTTACCTCCGCCGGTTGAACATGATAGAACACCGGAATAACGTACCTGCCCATTGACCGGCTGCATTCAAAAATTTTCTCGAGTTCGGTTAAGCAGTTAACTGACTCTCCGTAGTTTTGGGATAAAATGACGACAGAAATTCTCGATTCCTCTATGGCTTTGGAAATAGATAAAAAAATGTTTCTTCCCATTCGGATGGTCTTCTCATCCTTAAAAACTTTGATTCTTTGTGCGATGAGTGCAGCATAGAGATGAGATACGAAGTTCTTACGAGTGTCTGCACCTCTAAAATTTAAAAACACGTCATGTTTCCATCGATAATATGGTGAAGACGATGACTGGGACATGGTTTCAGTCAGTGCCATGGCTTTTATGTTGCCCTATCTTCAAATTCCCTCATTAAGAGAGTGGTAAACGTATAGTATATTTACATAAATATATTAGGTAGATGATTTCGAGGATACAACACGCCGGAAGAAAAAACATAGACACATCGATGATTTCGTTAAGTTTTGGGAACATAATATTTTAATGTTTAGCTGGGTATTTAACAATTAAAATCCCTTAAAATTAAGTATCTTGTTAACAAATAAATAAATCCTGCTTAATAAATAAAAATGATTTTGTCACGTATCATTTTTCCATTTAATTGGTCACATGTCATTTTATAATAATTTAAAGATGTATTTATTTTTTATTTGTCATTTACTTTATTTTTCATTAGGTTATAACCTGTACAAACCACAGTCGGTATATTTAAATATATATATATATATATATATATATATATATATATATATATATATATATATATATATATATATAGAAAAAAAATAATAAATGTTAAAAAAAACAAAGATATTGTTAATTGTAGGTGATTATGAATTAATTTGTTAAACAAAATAAACATAATAATGTTATTAGGAAATGATTTTGTATTTTCAAAATTTGAATTTGAATTTAATTTGATTTGTTACCATAAAAAGAAAATAATAAAAACCATAGAAAAATGTCACGTGCTAAAAAAAATTCTAAAAAATTAACACGTGTAATTTTTTGGTTTATTTATTAGAAGAGGTAGATTTTCAATATATCATTAATTTAGTTTCTCTAAATTAAACCTACCACAATAATTATTAATTTCAAATTTGAAATTTAAAATTTCAATTTTAATTTCAAATTAATTTACGATTTAAACCTTTATATTTAACATATTGTTATGATTAACATGTTTACTATACGAGTCTAACAACTAAGAATTCATTTTAATTTATTTATTTTCTGTATGTTTTGTTCTCATAATTTTCACTTATTTTAGATTTCAAATTCAAATAAACTTCAATTGTAATCTTTTTTTATTTAACATTTTGTTTTTATTAACGCGTATAGTATATGAGTCTCACAACTAGTATAGTTCTAAAGCCAAATATAGTATTGAATTATTGTCTTTCTATAAAGATACATGAACGGATTCAACTCCGATGGCAAAGAAATTTCAAATTTGTTATAATTAGATTTCTCATTCAGCCATTCAAGTTAGTTTTAATTTTTTTTGGTGAGTTTTCAACTGTTTTGTTAATGTTCTGAAAATTTAAAATCATTTTACTATATTAAGGTTTAATAACGTTATATGAAGGGATAATGGAAATTACATGACTTTAATGTAAACAAGGATTTTTTTTCTTCTTGGAGATCTACATGGAGAAGTTTATAAATCTCCCCCTGATCTGCATGAAGAAGTTTAAAACTACCACATCTAGGTAGAACATTTGTAAATTATGTTGGTGAATTATTTCAATAATTGTATTTAAGTGTAATTGACTAACTTGTTGATCAAAATTAATCGAGATGAATATTAAACAAATAAGGAAGATGTGGACTACACACTTGTTTAAGTTTATTCTGGATTTTAAGTAATAGCTAAATTTATTTCGGAATTTGCGTCTGTGAGCACTATTATCTAGGCTAAAGATGCTATCTTTGATGAAGAAAGACTTACATCTATTTCGAGATCAAGGGACATGATTCAACAATCTTCCAGCAAGAGTATAACTCAAGATGAGGATGTTTTTAGTGGTACAAGTTTTGTTCTAAAACTCAAAAGGAGTAGTAGAGCTAGAAAAGCTAAATCTTTTGGATTTTTTTTCAACTCTAGTTAGTTGAAGGAACAAGGGATGAGATTTTGTCTTAACATCAATATTGTTTTAATATTGACGAGGATCCAAATACTTTCAGTGAGGTTATGGCTTCTAAAGATGTTCATTTCTGGAAAGAGACAATTCAGGATGAGATTGATTCTATCATGAATAAAAATAGTTGGGCATTGTCTAGTTTACCTCTTGGTTGCAAGGCATTAGGACATAAATGGATCCTAAAAAGGAAGATAAAAGTGTTGGGTTTTGAGCATAACATCATTCCTATGGTGTACATGCAACCCTAATTGCTTTGGATCTAGGTTTTCCTTAAGTTTTACATGCAAACAATCTTCCAAAGCATAAACCCTAATCTAACATGTCTAAGAACAAAATTGATATGTAAATAAGGGTTTGGAATCTTACCTTACTTGTTATGTAGCAATAACAAAAACAATCCACAAAGTCCTCGACTCTTGAAATATAACATCCCAAATTTCAAGGCCAGAGATTTCGCTTTAAATTAAGTAACTAATAAATTCGTTTACCAAAAGATTGTCGATATTCATATCAATCCATAAAACCATTATAAACATGTCTCAAAATCATATCATCAAATGGTAATAAAATTAGAGTACAATCCCATGAATCACATAGTGTGAAAATCTAGTGTGCGTGTGATGTGCAACTACCACGCCAACTCCATCCATTTCATTGAATAGGTACCGGAAACAAAACCGAAAACTGTAAGCACGAAGCTTAGTGAGTTCCCCCATCATACCACATACCATACAATCACATAGCATACATACTGCCGGGTAATTCTGGGGTGGCTGACGAACCCCGTCCGGCCTTTCTGGGGTGTCGACCTACCCTATCAAGCAGTTTTGAGGTGCTGACCTACCCGTGTCAAGCCATTCTGGGGTGCTGACCAACCCTTCGGTCCTAATAGCCAGACTCCAGGGAATATTTTACCCATACTATTACTACCACATATATCATAACATAAACATACAGTCAGGCATATCTTGGGTGCCCAACCTACCCTTTGGTCCTAACAACTGAACTTAGGGACTAGTCCCCTCCTACTATCACTATCACATATAACATATCATGCTAGCACATAAACATGCCATGTAGTAGCAAACCAGACAACTATCACAAAGACAATCATCTAAACTATAATAAACTACTAGTGGGCCGACCTTGATGCCTTAGACCCACTTCTACTGGAAGGTAACTCACCTCGTAAAACTGCATGTCGAATCTAGGGGAAGTAATCTCTAATAGCTGCATGAATGACTCCCGACTATCATAGTCACATTAGCACTCAATTAGAGTTTATAACATTATTTATGGTAAAATGACCATTTTACCCCTTAGTCCAATTGGGACATACATAAGTCCCAATTCTAGCTTATTAGGCCTAGCTCTCATATGGCCCATAAATGACTCCCTAGGGGCCCACTAATTGCCCATTTTCTAAACTGGGCCTTATCCCCTCAAATGGCCAAAAAGTTCTGAGTCCAAAAATAATAACTCCTAAGGGTCCAATCTTGGCCCAAAAGGCCCAATACTTCAAGTTCTAGATTCCTAAGTCCTAAATTATGCTTCATAGTGGGCCATGGGGCCTAAAAGTCCAGACCCATTCTCTTAAGGCCCTAAAGCCTAACTTTTCCAATCCACATGCGTACGCGCGACATACTGGCCAACTTCCTTGGGACTTTATTTGTGGCTTAATCAATTAAGTCTATATGTCCACAATGTAGATCCAGGTCCTTTAAGAATTCCTAAGCCATAAAGTCACAAACTTTATGTGCTTGCATGCATGGTTGGGGTCAAAACATGACTTTGGTCCATTTAACAAGTTTCAAGACTAACTAGCACTTGCATGGTTGTGGGTTAACCATCAAGATCCGATTTTTATGATCATATATGCTTCTAAGAGTCCAAAAGGACATCTCTTATGCTCTGAAACGATCAATACTCAATATTTCTCAACAATCGGGTCTAAAGGTGACATAAAACCCCAAAATAAACTAATCTAAGTATACAATGGCCAAGAATGGAACTTGATACCTCAATAGAGTCAGAAATGACGCCAATCCTCTGGATCTAAAAGCTCTTGGTGGATCCTTGCTTCTTTTTCAAGATTCTTTCTTCTCTTCTCACTGATACAACTCACAAACAATCTCAAATGGATTCTAGGACACAAATGCACTCACAATGAGCTAGGATTTTCGTGGTGGTTGGTTAAGGGTGAAGGGAGGCTAAACCAATAGGGGTTATGTTCTTTATATATGGAGTAAACCTTAAATCTTAGGGTTTTAGATGATGCACACCTACGCTGGGCATGCGTGCATGGCCTCCGCGGTTCCTTCTCACGAGTACGATGGGCGTATATGGAAATGTACGCCCCGCGTACTTATTTTCCTCGGCCTACTTGTAAGGCCCAAAGGCCCAAGCCCAACCAAAAAATTTCCACAATTTAATTAAGATACTTATTCATTATACTTAGAAAAGTCTTGTATGTTACAAATCTCCCCGACTTGAGTTAGACTTTGTCCTCGAAGTCCATTTCTGTTACTGGAAATAATTCGGGGTAGTGCTCCCTCATCTCCTCCTCCAGCTCTTAAGTCCATCCCGATCCATTGTGGTGCTGCCACTGCACCTTTACCAACTGTACTTCCTTGTTCCTCATCACCTGCGTCTTCTTATCTAGAATAGATATCGGTCGCTCGATGTAATTTAGGCTGTCATCCACCTGAATATCCTGAAGAGGCACCATTGCAAAATCGTATACTAGGCACTTCTGCAACTAGGAGACATGGAAAGTACTATGAATCTGGCTAAGCTTAGCTGACAGATCCAGCCTATACGCCACCATGCCCACCCGGGCAGCAATTCTGAAAGGGCCAATATACCTAGGACCAAACTTGACTTGTTTCCTGAATCGGATGAAACCTTTCCAAGGTGACACCTTCAGGAGGACCATATCTCCGACCTGGAACTCCAAGTCTGAACGATTCTTGTCAGCATAACTTTTCTGCTGACTCTGAGCAGTTTGAAGCCTACTCCGAACCAGTTGAATCCTCTCCCTCGTCTTGAGCACCACATCGGTGCTCCCCATGACCCTCTTCCCCACCTCGCCCTGGCATATCGGGGTCCTGCACTTCCTCCCGTATAACATATCGAAGGGAGGACGGTCAATACTTGCGTGATAGCCATTATTATAGGAAAACTCGGCCAAGGGAAGGTAAGTATCCCAGCTACCACCAAAGTCTAGTATGCAAGCCTG